GGCGGTGGGGGCAGCCTTCCTCTTCCTCTGGGGCTGAGGGGCATGGGGTGGGGGGTGGTGGAGCCACGGCCACACCATGAGTGTGCGCACCTAGCAGTTGCCTGGCCTGAGGTGGTTGAGGTGGGATGCTGGGCCAGGCTGAGGATGTGAGGGGCATCTGGAGCCAGGCTAGGGGGGTGGGGCCCCGGCAGGTGCCAGGCAAGGGTGGGATCAGAATGTAGGCCACCCTAGAGGTTTTGGAAAGCTGTGCAAAGGTGATGGGTGGGGCTGGGTGTCAGGGAGGAGCCAGAGTTGAGCGGGCATGGACAGCATGAGGAGGGGAAAGGATGGAGTAACGCTTCACTGAGGGCAGCCCTAGAGGTTAGAGGCGCTGCTGAGCGGTGTAATTGGAATAGAGATGCAGCCTGTAATCCTGCGCCTTGGGAGGCTGAGGTGAATGGATTGCCTGAGCCCGCGGGTTCGAGACCCGCCTGGGCAACTTGGTGAAACCTCATCTCTACAATAAATCAAAAAACTAGCCGGGTGTAGTAGCGTGCACCTGTAGTTCCAGCTACTCTGAAGGCTGAGGCAGAAGGGTCGCTGGAGCCCAGCGGGTCGAGGCTGTGGTGCCCCGGAGCAGCCACTGCACTCCAGTCTGGGCGACTGAGTGAGACTCCAACTCAAAAAATTTTTTAAAATTGAAAAAAAAGAATAGAGACACGGACCTAGTTAGGATTGGGGACCCATGGAGTGGGAGCCAGAGGTCGAACCCTCTCTCTCCACCTCCCCTCGGTAGGAGCCAGATTTCTAAACTGGGCCTGCCCCCCCCAGTGGTATTAGGATTTGGGGGCAGAGCCGAGGAAGGGCTGGTGGAGACGGGAAGGTAGACAGGCCCTGTTGTAGGGCTCACTTGAAGGAGGTTGGTTAGGACCCCGAGGTGGGGCAGGGGCTGAGATCCGCAGGGCGGGCGGTGTGCGCGCGTGGGGCAGGGCCCAGGTGCTCTGACTTTGGCCACACGTGGGCCAGGTGGCCGTGGTCTCGCTACACCAGCGTTTCATGGGCTGTAAACAGGGTTACGTTGCGGGTGCATGCGACTTTGTGGCTCCGCTGAGAGGATTAAAGGCGTCTGAGGACCTTAAACCGCTTAGCGCCAGGCCGGCTGCGGCCAGACTAGATGGGGACGAGGGGCGTGGCTGGGGGTTGGGGGAGGTGGGAAGACCGGTCCCCTCCGCTGACCGTCCCA